AGGGCTGGCGGGGCCCGGGGTGCAGACACCTGTGGAGGCGCCCCACGCGACCACCGTCGGGAGGGGCCCGGGGTGGACGGCGCCCCTTGCCTCTGGGGGCCGGGCCCTGCAGCAGGACCGGGGAGACAGACGGGCACAGCCCTGCGTGGGGTTGGGTCAGCCTGTGACAAGGGTGGGCGCAGTCCTGGGCTGCTGGCTCGGGGGCCTCCACGCCTGGGCCCGGCCTCGCCCCCTGCAGCACCAGCAAAGCACCTCCTGCCTTCTCTGTCCCCACCTCTCTGCGCCCCCCGCCCCCACCCTCTCTGCACCTCCCTCTGCGCCCCCTGCCCTCTCTGCGTTCCCTTCTCTGCGCCCCCCGCCTGCGCCCCCATGCAGGACAGCGGCTCATGGGATTGCTCACCATTCTCAGAATAGCCCTGTGCACATGGCCCCTGGGGTGGACACTGCTCTGGCTGTGACCACTGTGGCTGCTCCCTGGGAGCCGGGGGCTTCCCTGCTGGCCTCCGGGCTGCCACGCTGTGCCCGCAGCGGCCTGGTGCGGAGTCGGCTTGGCCCTGGACTGGCCCCGCCCTGAGGGTGGGTGCCTGGCGGGTGGGTGCCCTGTCCCTGGCGGGGATCCGGGAGTCTCGGCTAGCAGGCAGGGCCTTGCTGATGGGAGCTGGGTCCCGAGCACCCCAGGGGAGGGCCCGTGCTGGGGGCTGGGGTTCCAGGCCACGGGCGGACCTGCCTCGGCGGGAGACCCCGGCCCAGCCACGCCAGCCGCAGACAGCTGTTGAGGGGCCCCCAGCCCCGGCCCAGCCCGCTTCTCCCCTCCGCCAGGACCTGAAGCGGCACGGGGCCACCACCGTGGTGCGCGTGTGCGAGGTGACCTACGACAAGGCGCCCCTGGAGAAGGACGGCATCACCGTGGTGGTGGGTCCGCGGCCGCTGCGGGGGGGCGGGGCGGGGCGGCCTGGCACCGGGCGCCTCGCGTGGGTCCTGCGTGGCGGTGCGGCCTGTGGCCGACACCAAGGCGCCCCTGGAGAAGGACGGCATCACCGTGGTGGTGGGTCCGCGGCCGCTGCGGGGGGGCGGGGCGGGGCGGCCTGGCACCGGGCGCCTCGCGTGGGTCCTGCGTGGCGGTGCGGCCTGTGGCCGACACCAAGGCGCCCCTGGAGAAGGACGGCATCACCGTGGTGGTGGGTCCGCGGCCGCTGCGGGGGGGCGGGGCGGGGCGGCCTGGCACCGGGCGCCTCGCGTGGGTCCTGCGTGGCGGTGCGGCCTGTGGCCGACACCAAGGCGCCCCTGGAGAAGGACGGCATCACCGTGGTGGTGGGTCCGCGGCCGCTGCGGGGGGGCGGGGCGGGGCGGCCTGGCACCGGGCGCCTCGCGTGGGTCCTGCGTGGCGGTGCGGCCTGTGGCCGACACCAAGGCGCCCCTGGAGAAGGACGGCATCACCGTGGTGGTGGGTCCGCGGCCGCTGCGGGGGGGCGGGGCGGGGCGGCCTGGCACCGGGCGCCTCGCGTGGGTCCTGCGTGGCGGTGCGGCCTGTGGCCGACACCAAGGCGCCCCTGGAGAAGGACGGCATCACCGTGGTGGTGGGTCCGCGGCCGCTGCGGGGGGGCGGGGCGGGGCGGCCTGGCACCGGGCGCCTCGCGTGGGTCCTGCGTGGCGGTGCGGCCTGTGGCCGACACCAAGGCGCCCCTGGAGAAGGACGGCATCACCGTGGTGGTGGGTCCGCGGCCGCTGCGGGGGGGCGGGGCGGGGCGGCCTGGCACCGGGCGCCTCGCGTGGGTCCTGCGTGGCGGTGCGGCCTGTGGCCGACACCAAGGCGCCCCTGGAGAAGGACGGCATCACCGTGGTGGTGGGTCCGCGGCCGCTGCGGGGGGGCGGGGCGGGGCGGCCTGGCACCGGGCGCCTCGCGTGGGTCCTGCGTGGCGGTGCGGCCTGTGGCCGACACCAAGGCGCCCCTGGAGAAGGACGGCATCACCGTGGTGGTGGGTCCGCGGCCGCTGCGGGGGGGCGGGGCGGGGCGGCCTGGCACCGGGCGCCTCGCGTGGGTCCTGCGTGGCGGTGCGGCCTGTGGCCGACACCAAGGCGCCCCTGGAGAAGGACGGCATCACCGTGGTGGTGGGTCCGCGGCCGCTGCGGGGGGGCGGGGCGGGGCGGCCTGGCACCGGGCGCCTCGCGTGGGTCCTGCGTGGCGGTGCGGCCTGTGGCCGACACCAAGGCGCCCCTGGAGAAGGACGGCATCACCGTGGTGGTGGGTCCGCGGCCGCTGCGGGGGGGCGGGGCGGGGCGGCCTGGCACCGGGCGCCTCGCGTGGGTCCTGCGTGGCGGTGCGGCCTGTGGCCGACACCAAGGCGCCCCTGGAGAAGGACGGCATCACCGTGGTGGTGGGTCCGCGGCCGCTGCGGGGGGGCGGGGCGGGGCGGCCTGGCACCGGGCGCCTCGCGTGGGTCCTGCGTGGCGGTGCGGCCTGTGGCCGACACCAAGGCGCCCCTGGAGAAGGACGGCATCACCGTGGTGGTGGGTCCGCGGCCGCTGCGGGGGGGCGGGGCGGGGCGGCCTGGCACCGGGCGCCTCGCGTGGGTCCTGCGTGGCGGTGCGGCCTGTGGCCGACACCAAGGCGCCCCTGGAGAAGGACGGCATCACCGTGGTGGTGGGTCCGCGGCCGCTGCGGGGGGGCGGGGCGGGGCGGCCTGGCACCGGGCGCCTCGCGTGGGTCCTGCGTGGCGGTGCGGCCTGTGGCCGACACCAAGGCGCCCCTGGAGAAGGACGGCATCACCGTGGTGGTGGGTCCGCGGCCGCTGCGGGGGGGCGGGGCGGGGCGGCCTGGCACCGGGCGCCTCGCGTGGGTCCTGCGTGGCGGTGCGGCCTGTGGCCGACACCAAGGCGCCCCTGGAGAAGGACGGCATCACCGTGGTGGTGGGTCCGCGGCCGCTGCGGGGGGGCGGGGCGGGGCGGCCTGGCACCGGGCGCCTCGCGTGGGTCCTGCGTGGCGGTGCGGCCTGTGGCCGACACCAAGGCGCCCCTGGAGAAGGACGGCATCACCGTGGTGGTGGGTCCGCGGCCGCTGCGGGGGGGCGGGGCGGGGCGGCCTGGCACCGGGCGCCTCGCGTGGGTCCTGCGTGGCGGTGCGGCCTGTGGCCGACACCAAGGCGCCCCTGGAGAAGGACGGCATCACCGTGGTGGTGGGTCCGCGGCCGCTGCGGGGGGGCGGGGCGGGGCGGCCTGGCACCGGGCGCCTCGCGTGGGTCCTGCGTGGCGGTGCGGCCTGTGGCCGACACCAAGGCGCCCCTGGAGAAGGACGGCATCACCGTGGTGGTGGGTCCGCGGCCGCTGCGGGGGGGCGGGGCGGGGCGGCCTGGCACCGGGCGCCTCGCGTGGGTCCTGCGTGGCGGTGCGGCCTGTGGCCGACACCAAGGCGCCCCTGGAGAAGGACGGCATCACCGTGGTGGTGGGTCCGCGGCCGCTGCGGGGGGGCGGGGCGGGGCGGCCTGGCACCGGGCGCCTCGCGTGGGTCCTGCGTGGCGGTGCGGCCTGTGGCCGACACCAAGGCGCCCCTGGAGAAGGACGGCATCACCGGGTGGTGGCCCGGCGGCTGCTTGTGGTGGGGAGCCGAGACCGGCGGGCGGCTGCCTGAGGCCTCAGCTGGGGCGGCTGGGCAGCCCGGAGTCTCGGCAGCCCTCTGCCCCGGGCCTGCCCCCGGGGGCCTCCCTTGCCGCCCTGTCCCCGGGCAGCGGGCCCCGGGGGCCTCCTCGAGGCCAGGCAGTCGGCCCTAGGCGCTGTTACCTTGATCCCCGGGCTCTGGGACCCGCGGAGGGGCCTGGCCGCTCCCCCGGTGCGGGCGGAGGGGACTGGGCCGGACTGAGAGGCAGGCCCGCTGGCTGCGCCTGGACGCTGGGGGACCGCCCGCACGCCTCCCGGGGCCCTGGGCCGGACGGAGCCTCTGTCAGTGCCGACGGCCCGGGTCTGGGGCAGGGAGGGCCGGGCTGCAGGTCAGACGGGCAGGGTCGTCTCGCTCCTGCCCCTCCAGCTGCGTGACCCCAGACTCCTCAGCGCTGTGGTGGTGCTGAGGGGCCGGCCGGCAGGACATGGCCCAGGCCCTCTG